CCTCCTCCTCCTCAGCATCATCCCATCATCATCATCATCATCATCATCATCATCATCATCATCATCATCATCAGCATCAGCATCCTCATCATCATCATCACCATCACCATCGCCATCACCATCACCATCACCATCACCACCACCACCACCGCCACTACAATCACCATCACCATGACCATCGTCACCATCACAATTTTCAGCATTGCAACCACTGATGGCACCATTATTCCGCATCAGCATAACCATCAGCATCACCACAAGCATCATGATCACAATCACCACCGCCACCATCATCACCACCACCACAATCATCTCCATTAGTACCATCATCCTCATAATCATAATCAGCATCAGCAGCATCATCAGCATCATCTTCATCATCATCCCCATCATCAGCATCATCATCATCAGCATCATCGTCATGATCAGAAGCAGTACCCCCACCACCACAACCACCATCATGGTCATCATCATCATAATCATCACCATAATCAGCATCATCATCATCGTCGTCACCATCGTCATCTCATCAGCACTCTCACCATCATCACCATCACTCAACATCATCACAATCATCATCGTCATCATCACAGTCACCACCATCATCACCAGCATCATGATCGACCTCAACATCATCATCATCATCATCATCATCATCATCATCATCATCATCATCATCATCATCATCATCCGCATAATAATCATCAGCATCATCATCAACGACAACATCATCATCAGCAGCAGCAGCAGTCCCACCATCAGATCCACCTCCCCCTCCCCCCTCCCCCCTCCTCCTCCTCCTCCTCATCATCATCATCCTCATTCTCATCGCATCATCATCACACCAACTGCCACCATCACCATAACCATTACCATCGTAAGCATCATCATCGACGTCGTCACCATTGTAAGCACCCAAGGCATCACTACTTCGCATCATCATCGTCATCATCATCAGCATCATGATCATCGCCACCAGATCAACATCATCAACATCAGCATCATCATAGTCACCATCATCATAGTCACCGTCGTCATCATCATCATCATCAGCAACATCATCATGATCATCACCCCCCCACGACAACTACCACGACCATCCTCGCCATCAGCATCAAAGACGGCATCCTCATCAGCAGCAGCAGCAGCCTCACCATCAGATCATCATCATCATCATCACCATCATCATCATCAGCATCACCCTTATCACCGTCATCATCATCAGCATCAGCATCACCATCGTCAGCAGCGTCAGCATCATCATCGTCACGATCAGCATCAACAACAACAACAACATCATCATCATCATCACCAGCATCATCATCAAAGACATCATCATCAGCATCAGCAGCATCGTCATCGTCATAATCATCATCATCGTCATCAGAATCGATATCACCATCATCACTATCATCAGCATCATGATCATCAACCGCATCTTCAGCGTCACCATCATCAGAATCATCACCATCTCCGACACCACCGCCACCACCACCACCATCAGCATCATCATCATCAGCATCATAATCCTCGTCGTCATCATCATTACCATGAGCATCCCCAACATCATCAGCAGCAGCAGCAGCCTCACCATCACAATCACCATCACTATCACCACCACCACTAGCATCTTCATCATCATCGTCATCATCGTCGTCAGCATCAGCAGCATCATCATCATCATCGTGATCATCACCATCATCATCAGCAGCAGCAGCAGAAGCATCACACCCAGCATCACCATCATCATCACCACAATCATCGTCATCAACATCGTCATCAGCATCATCACCACCACCAACATCATCATCATCACCGGTTTCATCATCGGAACGACCCTGATCAACAGCATCATGATCATCACCATCAGCATCAGCATCATCATCAGAATCACCCTCACCATCCTCATCATCATCAGCATCACCGACACCACCGCCACAACCATCATCATCAGCAGAATCATCATCATCGTGGTCATCATCCGCAGCATCATCGTGATCATCATGAGCATCATCACCCTCAGCATCACCATCACCATCACCACTACCGCCACCGTCTTCATCAACATCGTCATCATCATCATCATCATCATCACTCGTATCATCATCATCCTCATCATCCTCATCATCAAGACCGTCATCGCCATCATCACACCATCATCACCATCATCATCATCATCATCATCATCATCATCATCGTCGTCGGCCTGATCAGAATCAACATCATCATCATGAAGACCACTATCGCCTTCATCATCCTCATTATTATCACAATCATCATCACCACCGTCACCACCATCACCATCAGCAGCATCCGCAACATCACCATCCACGTCATTATCAGCATCAGCATCAGCAGCGTCACCAGCACCATCACCGCCACCACCACCATCATCATCAGCATCACCATCATCAGCAGCAGCATCACCATCACCATCAGCATTATCATCACCATCATCAGCAGCATCACTATGAGCATCATCATCATCAACATCATAAAACAGCGGAACGGCCCTGCGTTGCATCAAAAAAATCAGCAGCAGCAACAGTAGTAGTAGTAGTAGTAATAATAGTAGTCGTAGTAGTAGTAGTAGTAGTAGTAGTAGTAGTAGTAGTAGTAGTAGTAGTAGTAGTAGTAGTAGTAGTAGTAGTGGTAGTAGTAGTAGTAGTAGTAGTAGTATCATCATCATCATCATCATCATCATCATGAGCATCATCATCCTGGTCATCATGGGAATTGGCAACATCATCATCACCGACATCACCGACAGCACCACCACCACCGGTCAGCATCAACATCATCAGCATCATCATCCTCGTCATCAGCATCACCATGTCCATTATCATCATCACCAACAACAACGGCATCAGCATCAGCATCACCATAACCACCTCCACCACCATCATACTCATCAGCATCGTCACCAGCATCACCCCCATGATCGCCATCAGCATCAGCATCATCATCATTATAATCATGATCAGCATCGTCGTCATCATCATTATCGTCAGCAACATCATCATCACCATCACCATCATAATCAGAATCATCATTATCTTTAAGATGGTCGTCAGCATCATCATCAAACTCACCATTATCATCGTCCATCATGAGCATCATCACCCTCAATATCATCATCGTCATCATGATCACAACAGACAGCCACCAGCACCACCACCATCATCATCACCATCATCACCATCATCATCATCAACAGCATCGTCCTCGTAATCATCATCATTGGCATCATCATCCCCAGCAGCAGCAACAGCAGCCTCACCATCACTGTCAGCATCAACACCCCCAGCATCATCGCCATCAGCATATCGATAATCCCCATCATCAGTATCATCATCATCATCATCATCATCATCATCATCATCAGCATCATCAGCATGACCATCAGCATCACCATCATCATCAGCATCATCGTCATCATCATCATCGTGATCATCGTCATCATCAGCATCGTCAGCATCGCCATCGTCATCAGCCTAGGAGCGACACTGATCAATAGCATCATGATCATCGCCATCAGCATCAACCTCAGCAGCATAATCATCTTCATCATCCCCATCCTCAGCATCACCTTCATTATCATAAGTATCATCATCACCGACACCACCACCATCATCATCGTCATCATAAGCATCATCACCGTCACCATCATCAGCATCGTCATCATGACCACCATCAGCATCATCAGCACCATCATCAGCATCGGCATCACCATCAATATCATCATCGTCATCATCATCATGGGCATCATCAACATCATCATAATCATCATCAGTAGCAGCCTCACCATCACAATCCCCATCACCACTGCAACCATCATCTTCATCAGCATCGTCATCATCAGCATCATCGGCATCATCATCATCACCATCATCAACATGATTATCATCAACATCATCATCACAAGAACGCCCCTGATCAACATCATCATCATCAACATCATCGTCACCATCCTCATCATGAGCATGGTCATCATCACCGACACTACCGCAACCACCACCACCACCATCATCATCATCAGCATCATAATCCTCGTCATCATCATCATCAGCAGCATCATCATCGGCATCATCGTCATCATCATCAGCAACAGCATAACCATCACCATCACCACCACCACCATCACCTCCATCAGCATCGTCATCATCATTTCAACCAGCATCATCATCGTCATCATCATCACCACCATCATCATCGGCACTTATCATGATCAGCAGCAGCAGGAACAGCAGCCTCACAAACGCCATCATCTTTTCCATGATGATAATTAATCGAGCCACTCAAGTCATGGTAATGATAGAAGCTGGGATTTAGAAAGACGGCCCCGGATTTCGAAGATCCGGTTTTTTGAACTTAGTAAACCAGTGTATGCGTTTACTAAATGATGATTTGTCTTGTTTTGATTGGGCAGCGCAATTTAATAAGTCCGTTTCTCGCTTTAGTAAATCATCGTCGTTTTCAATAAGTTGTTTTAAGAATGCGCGTTCATTCAGTACCATGACTTATGTAAGCCGGCGGAAACCAGCATAATCAGCATCGTCACCAGCATTATCATCATCAGCAGCATCAGCATCATCATCAACATCAGCATCACCACCATCAGCATCACCACCACCATCACCATCACCATCACCATCACCATCACCATCACCATCACCATCATCATCATCATCATCACCACCATCATATCATCATCATCATCATTATCATCATCATCATCATCATCATCATCATCATCATCATCATCATCATCATCATCATCACCCTCCTCCTCCTCCTCCTCCTCCTCCTCCTCCTCATCATCATCATCATCATCATCATCATCATCATCATCATCATCATCATCATCATCATCATCGGAACGACCCTGCTCAACATCATCATGAACATCACCATGACCACCATCGTCAACATCAGCATCAGCATCAGCTGTTTCATCATCACCACCAGTCCGGCACGACGGTGGGGGGCCCTCCCCGCTCCTGGCAGAGCTCAGGCGCAGCAGCAACTCCAGGGCCGCCGCGAGCGCGGCGGGGCCCACAACGGGCCCGTCTCCTGGCGTCCTGGCGAGGGGGCGGAGGAGAAGAGGAGGGAGAAGAGCAGGACGAGGGAGGAGGAGGAGGAGGAGGAGGAGGAGGAGGAGGAGGAGGAGGAGGAGGAGGAGGAGGAGGAGGAGGAGGAGGAGGAGGAGGAGGAGGAGGAGGAGGAGGAGGAGGAGGAGGAGGAGGAGAGAGGAGAGAGGCTCGGAGTGGAAGCGAAGGAGGAAGAGGAGGAGGAAGAGGACGAGGAGCAAGAGGAGGAGGACGAGCAGGAGGAGGGAGGGAGGAGGAGGAGAGGGAGGAGGAGGAGGAGGGGGAGGATGGGGCGGGCAGCGTCACAGGGGAAAAGGAAAAGGCAACCGATGCGCCCCCTGGAAGCCCTGTGGGGCGACCACGGGATCATGGCCGTTGAGGGGCAGGAGTTCCACCTGCCAACACGGGAGCCGCGGCTTGCGCGAGGAGCGCGCGAAACGCTGCCTGAGGGGACACCCAGCCGCGGACGAGCCGCACTCGAGGGGCCCCAAGAGCAACTCCTCATAGAGACCCTACCGCGGACGTACCGCACACGAGGGCACCCATTAGCTCCCGTAAGGCATACATGGAAGGCACCTCACAGCTAATCGATGGCGTCGGCGAGCTCGCTCAGCTGCTCAACGCCCAAAGTGTCGAGGTGCTCAGTTGTTCCAACGAGACGGGCGGCAGCTGCAGGTGCGCGTCCAACAGAACATGCTCCACCAGGATCCACACGCGGAGCTCCGCCAACGTCGACGGCCGCGGGGCCCCCGACACCCGATAGGGAGCGAGACGGCCGAACCGCAGGCGGCGCCGCCGCATCCACAGCGACAGCACCGCGGGCAACCTCCCCTGCAGAGGCGGCCCTCGTTCGCCTTGGGGACAGCGCGTCGGCCCAGCTGCCGTCGAACTCCTCGCCGCCGTCGAGCGGCACCGCGACCTCGGCCTGCCCCTGCAGGGCGCGGGAACGCCACGCCCGGTGCCGCCGCCGCCTGGGCTGGGAGCCAGCCCTTGGACGGCACGGCAGCCGCAGGCGGAGCAGGCGACCGCCGCGACACTTGGACGTTCGATATAACAGAAGGTTTTGCTGGCCCCCAGACGCCCCAAGAGGCCTCCAAGAGCACTCCCCAGAGGGCCCCAAGAGGCAAAATTCATTACTTTTCCTTAGGTTTGGGGCAGATTTTGGCGTGTCCATCTTTTCGGCTTCCCGACGCCCCAAGACGGCCCAAGAGGCCCCCAAGATCGCCCCAAGAGGGCCCAAGAAGCTCCCAAGAAGGCCCCAAGATGGCCCAAGAGGGCTCCAAGACGGCCCCAGAGGCATCCAAGACGGCCCAAGAGGGGCCCAAGAGGGCCCCAAGCGATGCCCCAAAGGGGGAACACAAAACAAAACTTCGAGCCCTCGGCCTTAAGAAGCCCCCAGGAGGCCTCAAGAGGCCCCTGAGAGGCCCCAAAAGCCCCCAAGAGGCCCTCAGGAGGCCCCCAAGCGACGCTGAAGAGGCCCCCCAGCGGCCCCAAGAGGCTCAGTCATGCGAAATGGGCCAGCGGAATGAGCGAAGCGATTCAATAACAGAGGGTTTTGCTCGCGCGCGTAGCCGCCTCTTCTGTGGCCCTCTGGGCTCAAGGCCCCATGCGGGGCCAGCATTTTTGGGGTGGGCGGGCGGGGCCACAGCTCGCCTGCACGGCCAAGGCCCGGCCAGGCATTCTGAGGAGTGCTGGGACATGGCAGGGCCAGGACCCCCTTCCAGTGCGGGCGGCGACCGGAGGGGTCGCGCGGCCCGCGGCAGGTGCGATGGTGAGGCCCATGCACGGCTTCGAGTGCACGGTGGCCATGGCGGTGGGAGCCATGTTGACGTGGCTCGACGCGTCGCTTGGGGTCGGGCCGTATGCCAGCTTCTCCGCGACGGCCACGGTCGTGGGGCCCGAAGACGGCCACGCTCGGGCAGACCCGGGCGAGGGCGGCTCGGGCGACGATGAGGAGCAGGAAGAACGGTCCAGTCAGGATGGCCAGCCCAGCTGCTCAAGCGAGAGCGGCGCGACGCCGCTAGCCACCGAGGACTCTGCGGCAAGCCCTGGACCACTCTCGGCGGCAGCGACCCTCGCTCTCCTGGGCCCCTTCACAGAAACCGGCCGCAGTCGGGGCCGACCTGGGCGAGCGCCCTCAGTCGACTGGTGCGTACGAGTACTACTACCAGGGCAACTACTACGCGGACGCCAGCCCAGCAGCAGCGCCCGCGGAGCCCCCCTCCAGCGAGGCCACCAGGGCAAACCCGGAGCAGGAGGAGGGCGCCACCACTGGTGGGGAGGACATGCAGGGACCCAGCCCTCCCCCGCCACCCCCGGGCGAGCCCCCGGGCGAGCCGGGCATGACCGCGGCGAAGGGCGAGCGGAGCGAGGGGCCCAGCATGGCACCTAGCACCACCATGCGGTTCCAAGTCAGCACGGCGCGGGTCAAAGTCCGGGTCGGAGCGGCCTTGCAGCGCGTCGGGCACGGTACTGCACAAGCTCCCCTACTTACTGATGGGGGTGGTCGACGCCATGGGCCGCTACCTGTTCGGCGGGTACTGGGCGAAACTGCAGTGGGCGGTTATGGGGCTCGTGGCGCTCGCACCGGCTACCATTTGGAGTTCCGTCGTTTGTCGCGTGGCCCAGCTCCTCCGAACGCTCTGGGCGCGCACCTCTTCCGTCTTAGAGACGCCGAGGGACTTTGCTGGCGGCGGGGAGACAGGGCGCGACATCAAGGCGGCCTTGGCGGGCGACCCGCCCTCATCTTTGTCCGGGCACGGCCCTTCAGAGGTCAAAGCAGCAGGCGCTGACCACGCGAAGAACGAGGCCCGCGCAAGAGGAGGAATCGCCGAGAAGATGTTGCCCAACAACCCCTATCACGAGGTCGGGCGGATCGGCGGCGCGCTTGGAGCAAGGGCCTCTCGAAGGTAGCCGCCTCACAAGGCACGGGTGCGTCTACCGCTTCAAAGAGGTGAAGGGCAGCTCCCATCGCTACGTCAAGGACGACCTCGAGGCGACAAGAGACGCGGGGGGCATTGAAGCGGTGAATCTCTGCGCAGCCATCCCGTGCACCCTGCCAGAAGGAGAGAGGAACATGGCCCACGTCTGCTCGTCGCGCGCGGTCAACGCCAGCACCCAGATCAACGTGTCGGACACGGCCAAGCTCGCGCCCGCAGGCCGCGCGCACTCGGGCGGCCGACGCAGGAGCATTGGCAAGCTCGCCAGGCGCATGCTCGGGCACCCAAGGCCCGGCAAGGGAAGCGGAAGGCAGAGGAGATGCATCCCAACTCGGAGACCGAGTCGGAGCCCAGCACGGACATCTGCGAAGCGGACAAGATCGCCTTCCTCGGGAAAGGGGGGCACGCAGGTCCTGTGCCCTGCCACCCCTGCAGCTCCGCACCGCGAAAGACCACTCGGTCGGTCGACAACGGCGCGCAATATGGGCTGGCGGAATGAGCGAAGCGATTCAATAATACGAAGTGCACTTTGCACCGAAATCTGGACCATGCTCGACGGCCCCGCGACCACTTTGAACCGGATTCGGACTGGGACGGCGGGGAGCGCGGAGTGCCTGCTGCGCGCAGTGCCAAGAGAGCACTGCGAAGTGCGCTCGGCACCAGAATCTGGATCTTGCGCGGGCGCCCCGCGACCGCTTTGCACCGGCTTTTGACGGGAACGGCGGGGGGGGCGGCATGTTACGGTAGGTTCGTGCGGCGTCGGTGCGCGTAAAGGTTTTTGACACCGCGTCGATCGTTCAATCTTGAATCGATCGCGGCCTCGATTGTTCAAGGTTAAATCCAGTCGGGCCCAATGGCATTACCGGGCCCATCGGTGCTTCCGCGTCGCAGAATTCAACCTTTAACGCCTTCGCTGGCGTTGCCAGCGCGTCAACGCCGCAGGAACCTACCGTACCTGCTGCGGGCAAGCCCACCATCTCCTACCCCCCCCCCAAGAAAGAAAATGCACGCTGCCGGGCACCGTCGGAGGGGCGGCGTATTGGCTGCTGCGTGCAGGTCATCGACCTCTGCCAAAAAACGCATGCAGACCGATTGCGGGCGCACAGCCATTGGCGCACAACACACCATGCTGGAAACGCCACCGTCACGTTGCACTGATTGTTGGAAGGTATGGTGGGGGGGTCGACACATTACCCAATGTGGCGCACCTGCGGCGCGTTGTGCAACTGGCACGTGCGGCGCACCTCGCGGGCTTCGCGCACCTGACTGTCGTCTGCAGTGGGTCCCGATGTTTGTCGATGGCGACCCCTGCCTATGCTGAGACTCGGGTGTTACTTATGTAGTGGGAGGGCGAGTGGGAGTGAGCGAGACAGCTTGCGCGGCGCTCCCGCTGGAAACTTAACCTCTCCCCCGAACTCCTCATCCTAGGTCTGGTCGGGTGGGGCGGCAACTGATTAGAACGTCAAAGATGGCCCAAGATAGCTCCAAGAGGGCCCCAGATAGCCCAAGATGGGCTCCAAGATGGCTCCAGATAACGCGAGCTCGCTCAAGACTGATCAAAGGAAGCCCCTAATAGGCCAACAATCATGCCGAAACGTGAATAAAAACAATGGTTGTTGCCTGTTTGCCGTTTTGCTTCCAATGGCCTTCCGATGCCTCGAGATGGCTCAACTATGCCCTGGGAGAGCCGCCCCAAGAGCGCTCAAGGGCGCCCCAAGAGAGCCCTAAGGGGCGATGTGAGGGACTCTTCTACAGAGGCAGCGCTGGTTTACGAACCCCTCTTATTTGATCGATGTCCTCCCCAAGCTGGTCCCAGGAAGGCCTACAAGGCTCCGAGGAGGGCCCCAAGAAGGCACCAAAGAGGCCGCTAAGAAGCCCCCAAGAATTCCCCGAGACGCCACAAGAAGCTCCCGAGAGCCCCCAAGAGGCCCCCAGGAAGCCCTAATAGGCTACCAAGAGTCCCCAGGAGACATCCAGAGCGACTCCGAGAGGTATCCAAGAGGCCTCTCTAGTGCAGTGAAGGCTCCCCCCTCCCCGAGGTATCCAAATTATGCCAGGCTCCCCTGAAAAGAAAATCTCCCCGGGGCATCGTTCCTGGACGTGGTGTTGTAGAGGCATATGGGGTCCGAGTAGACGGGATCAAAGGATCGCGCCGCATCGCCGATGCATCGGCGATACATCGGGGATGCATCGTCTATGCATCGGCGACGTCGGCGTTGCATCGGCGACGCCAGCGTGCAGAAAATCAGCCTCTGCATCGAGCCGCATCGCCGATGCAGATCCTCCGACCCCATCTACTTCGACCCCATCATTGGGGGACGCGAAGCGTTAGGAATTCACGACTTTCTGGCGGCCCTCGGCCATTCGTACTCGGCCATTCGTCGCTGGCCGCGCGGGACATGAGGAGACCCTGGAAACCTGCCCATGACTTCTCGCCGCTCCGACAAGAGGCGGTTGCTGGGGGGGCCAAGTGCAGAAGTCGCCATCGCTCGGACGTCCTTTCCCCGTGCGTTGTTCGGTGTCGTGCGTGTCTTCCGTCGCAAGACGATCCAAGCTGCTCTTCGATGGTCCTCGCCGAGAAGAGCATGCACACGTCCGAGCGATGCCAAGAGGAAGGCACTCCTCCTCCTCCTCCTCCTCCTTTTCCTTCTCCTCCTCCTCCTCCTCCTCCTCCTCCTCCTCACCACCACCACCACCACCACCGCCACCATGATCATCATCATCATCATCATCATCATCATCATCATCATCATCATCATCATCATCATCATCATCATCATCATATCATCAGCACCAGCATCAGCATCATCATCATCATCATCAGCATCATCATCATCAGCATCATCATCATCACAATCATCATCATCAGCAGCAGCATCATCATCATCATCACCATCACCATCTCCATCACCATCACCATCACCATCACCATCACCATCACCATCATCATCATCATCATCATCATCATTATCATCATCAGCATCATCATCATCAGCATTAGCATCATCATCATCATCGTCACTACCACCACCACCACCACCATCAGCATAATCATAATCAGCATCAGCATCAGCATCAGCATCATCATCATCATCATCATCATCATCTCATCAGCATCACCATCATCTCATCATCAGCAGCATCATCAGCAGCATCATCATCATCAGAATCGTCATTAGCATCATTAGCATCATCATCATCATAAGCATCATCAACAGCATCCTCATCAGCAGCATCAGCAGCATCATCAGTATCATCGTCAGCATCAGCATCAGCATCATCAGCATCGTCAGCATGATCATCATCAGCAGCATCATCGTCATCAGCGTGATCATCATCGTCACCAGTATCATCGTCATTATCATCGTCAGCATCATCACCATCGTCATCAGTATCATCATCACCACCAACAACAACACCCAACCACACCGCCACAACCATCATCACCAGCATCATCAGAAGCAGCAGCATCATCAGCATCGATATCATCATCACCATCATCATCACCATCATCAACAACAACAGAATCGTCGTCGTCATCATTTTTGTCGTCCTCTTCGACGTCACCGCCACCATCAGCATCAGAATCAACAACATCATAAACCCGTCATCATCGTCATCTGTATCTGCATCGTCCTCACCGTCATCACCCGTTTTAAGTATCAGCATCATCATTAGCAGTATCAGCATCACCACCACCATGATCATGATCAGCATCAGCAACATCATCACCACCATCATGGCATACCACAACCACCATCAGCAGCAGCATCAGTATCATCTGCACCACCACCACCACCATCAGTATCATCACCACCAGAACCACAACCATCATCACCATCACCACCACCATCAACGTCAGCATCAGCACCAGCATCATGAACATCCGCATCAGCATCATCATCATCCTCGTAGTCGTCGTCGACGTCATCATCGTCATCATCACTTCATCATCGTCATTCCCATCCCCATCACCAAATTCATCAGCATCAGCACCACCACAACCACCAAAATCATCATCCTCATCAGCATCACCATCACCACTTCCACCAGCATCAGCATCAGCATCCGCATCATTATAACAATCAGCACCACCACCATCATCATCACCAACATCACCACCACCACCATCATCATAACCACCACCACCACCATCATCAGCATCAGCATCATCATCGGCATCGGCATCAGCACCATCATCACATCAGTCGCATCACCAGCAGCATCACGACAACCACCATCACCAGCATCAGCATCATCATCAGCACTGCAACAACCACCACTATCATCATCAAAATCGCTACCACCAAAACGATCACCATCACCATCCCCTTGACCACCATCATCAGCATCATAAGAATCATCATCAGCATCAACATCAACACCACCAATACCATCACCATCATAAGCATCAGTACCATGAGCATAGTCATCATCAGCCTCATCATTGCCACCACCACCATCCGAGTCAGCATCAGCATCATTACCGTCAGCACCACCACCATCATCATCAGAATCACAACCACAACCACAACCATCTCATCATCACCACCACCAAATTCAGCATCGTCATCATCAACATCATCTTCATCCTCATCCTCAACCACGTCCTCATCCTGATCCTCATCACAATCATCACCATCATCATCATCAGCTCCACCACCACCACCATCATCTTCATCATCAGCATCATCAGTACGACCACCACGATCATCACTATCAGCAGCATCATCAGGAGCAGCATCATCAGCACCACCACCAGCAACACCATCATCCTCATCATCACCACCAGCACCACCATAATCATTATCATCACCATCACCAACGTCATCAGCATCATCATCTTCATTATCGTCATTATGAACATCAGCATCAATATCAGCATCAGCCTCACCACCACCGCAATCGCATCGTCGTCATCAGCATCATCAGTACGAGCACCACTATCATCACCATCAGCATTATCATCATCATCATCTGCATCATCATCATCATCATCATCATCATCATCATCATCAGCAGCAACACCACAATAGTCATGAACATCAACACCACCATCACCTCTTTCATCATCATCACCACCATCAGCAGCATCATCAGCAGCATCAGCATCCGCATCAGCGCAGCATCACCACAACCTCCAGCTTCATCAGCATCATCATCAGCAACATCATCATCAAGACAACATCATCATGACCATCATCAGCATCAGAATCTGCATCATCATCACTGTCATCATCACCATCATCGTCCTCATCATCATCATCCTCATCCTCATCCTCATCATCATCAGCATCAGCATCAGCATCAAAATTAACATCACCACCACCATCCTCATCATCATCCTTGTCCTCGTCATCATCATCATCCTCATCATCCTCGTCATCATCGTCATCATCCTTTCGACCGGCACCATCATCAGCATCAGCATCAGCATCATCATCATCAGCATCATCAGCACCACCACCCTCACCATCATTATACGCATCAGCATCAGAATCACCACCACCAGCACCACCATCATCAGCAGCACCACCACCACCATCATCAGCACCATCACCATCAGCTTCAGCATCAGCATCTCCAACACCACCATCATCATAATCATTGCGACCACCACCATCATCACAATCATCATCATCATCATCAGCATCATCATCATAATCAGCAGCATCAGCATCATCGTCATTGTCATCATCATCACCACCACTAGCAATTCCATCATCACCACCACCACCATCATTATCATCGTCATCATCAGCAGCATCAGCATCATCAGCATCGGCAACATCATCAGCATCACCACCACCATCCTCGTCATCATCCTCGTCCTCGTCCTCGTCCTCATCCTCATCCTCATCCTAATCATCGTCAGCATCATCATCACCATCATAATCCTGCCATTCCTTCCGCTCGTCTCCTCGAACCGTGCAGGCACATGATTGTGAATCCCAAAGCGGCCCTGGGCAAGGAGCAAGGGCATCTCGCAGTCACAGAGGGGCAGACTCCAAGACGCCTGATGGAGATGAGGAGGACGAGGCGGACGACGAGAACTCGATTCGACTCACCCCATGAGCACCATCCGTGACGAACCAACGAACGACAACCACTGCGGACAGCAAGACAGGCGCCGGTGTCCTCGCGGAGACTGGGTGGGCGAGGCCGTGGCCTCTGGACTGTGCGAACCACTGTCTCGCGCACGAGGAGGGCGAGGAGGAGAACGAGGACAAAACGCAGCGGCCATCGCCTCCATGTCTGTGCAGCACAGACAGTAGAACGAGGAGGAGCAGGAGGAGGAGGAGGAGGAGGAGGAGGAGCGAGGAGGAGCGAGCAGAAGGGGGGAGCGCGCCACACACAGGGCGGGTGCCCTACCTGTGTCGCGCGCGGGGGAGGACGAGCAGGAGGGCGAGGAGGACGAAGGCGAGGAGGGCGAGGAGGAGGAGGAGGAGCGAGCAGACCGGGGGAATCCACCACACCCTCGGCGGGAGCCCAAAATGGGTCTGACGGGCACCCCGGGGAGCGAGCGGCGCTTGCCACCGAGCAGGAGGTGTCGTCGCAGGGCAGCGTGGTCGAAAGGTGCGCGCTCCTGTTGAGCAGCACCGTGAGCGCCTTCGACACCATCCTGGAGCGCCCACCGACGAGGGGCGCGATCGCCGCCGTCATTGTCGCCGTCCTCGTCGTCGCCGTCGTCGCAGTCGCCGTCGTCGCAACCGTCGTCGGCGTCGTCGTCGGCGTCGTCGCCGTCACTGTCGACGACGTCGCGTGGTAGTCGCGGTGTCTGCCTGGAGGGCGCGGACACGGACAGGCAGCCGAGCCCTCCACCGTGTCGGTCAGGCATGGGGGGCTGCCTTCTGCTCTCTATGTGTTTGGATCCTCCGCTGGGAAGTCGACGTCATGATGCGGGTCCTCCCTCGTCGCTGCCACCGTCGTCGTACACGCCGTCGTCGCAGTCGTGATCATCGCCGTCGCCTTCCCCGTCGCCGCCGATTCCCATGCGTGCCCCCTGCACCGCCTGCCCCCCAACACAAAACTTCAATGCTCACTGCGGTGTTGCTTGGAACGGGGGGCGGCGGGCTCAAAAAGCACACCCGTCACCTTTCGCACGGGCCTGTGGGCTCTAGCTGATGAAGGGACTCTGAGACAAGGCCGCACCTTGCGCTCGCAAGTCCCGCCCAGCTCGCGCAGCACTGAACCTCGACTGCCCCGCCCTCCCGCAACGAGTCAAGCCTCGCGCAGCAGCAGCGGGCAGGGCCGCGCCCATCCAGGCGGGATGAGAGGCGGCGCAGCCCCCGCAGACGAACAGACGAACTCACTGCCGCAGACACGAGCCGAGAGCCTCCACACTCCGCCATTCTGACACATCCCTCGCTGTGTGCATCCACTGTTTCACGCCAGCGCCATCGGCCCTGGGCGTGCGCGCACAGCGTGGCCTTCGAGAGCGCCTGGAGCGACAGTGGGGCCCCGCGCTGCCGTAGATGCGAACCCGCATGCTGACACGTGGCCTCGTTGACGGTGACGGCACTGACATCGCTGTGCCCTCTGCGGACAGGGCCGCCCCGTACACGGTCGTCCACGACGAACTGCTTGCCGAGTCTTGTTCGGGGTCGGGGCGTTGTGAGCCGCCTCGGACACTCTGTGGGTCGGGCACTGCCGCCGGCAGCAGCATGGCGCCGGCTGGAAATGGAAGGCAGAGTGCGCTGCCGAACCTCGGCTTGTTCTCACCTCGTCGCCCCAGCGTCAGAAGGCAACTCATGGGAGGGCTCTGTAAGAAATATTAAAGGCTTTTAAGCAAAATGAAGACGCCAATTCACTTGATGAAGCCTGATTAGCCAGATCGAGCAGGATTGAGCGGGGTTAGGAGGATTTCACAGGACTCTGCAGGATTGGGCTGGTACTCCACCACGGATATACCGGCACCGAAGCTCGACTGAACCTCCGTTGACCACCCTGTCTGCGAAATACCTGCCTTGTCGACGTGTGCCTCGCGTGCCGCCGCGAGGCCCGCTGGGCACATCTTGGCGTCGGACGGGCGGCCACAAGTGCCGCCAGCCTCCCAGAGGTGGTTGGTGCTGGTCTGTCCCCCAGCTCGTGGCGCTGCGTGACCGCACGGGCTGGCACGCTTGATGCGTCGAGCACTGCGTAAAGGAAGGGCGGGAGGGGAGAAAGGACAAACGTGGTCTATCATCCGAGCCGTGGCCAGAAGCTAGCCAATAAAGACGGTGAGAAGGGTGGGAGGCAATTCTGGCCACCGCCAGACCACAGTTCACTTCCGCACAAGCCGAGCCAAAATACTGGACGGTAAGATGAGACTCAGCTTCAAGTTGCGCGGACAGCAAGCGACCATCTCCGCATCGAGGACACTTCCTGCGGGATATTTTGCGCATGCAAGAAGTTGTCTTAACACAGAAAGCAGTTTCGCACTGGCTGCGGACGATGTGGCGTCCCAGGACGGCCAAATCGACCACGACCGCAACCAAAGTGCTTCTGTCGATGTCGGTGGGTTCTTCCCCGAGGGGCCTGCCTGACTACAACACTGTTGTGGTCGTGGTTCCGGGTGGTGCCCAGACAAATGCCACCTCCACCCCTGCCCGTAGATTGCTGTGGCAAGGGGGAGGGAGTGATGGAGGGCAGGGAGGAACAGAAGGAAGGAACAGAAGGAGAGCATAAACCGACGAAGGCCCGCGCGGACTTCCTGGCTCGACGCTGACCCCCCTCCCCGGCGTGCGCAGCGCGCCAGTGGCGGTGCCAAGGGCGGCGCCAGGGGGTCGAATGAGGATCCGGGGATTCCGCGCGGACCTCCGCTGGTTCCAGCGGGGGAGGACTGGGAGGCCGACAAGACAGAATCCAACCCGACAGGGGTCGGAGGATCGAACGAAAATCGGGTTTCACATCAAGCCGCATCGCCGATTCCCCGACGCGGGGCGATCCTGCGACCCAATTCGCTCTGGTCCCACTTGGGCGGCCTGGGGGCCTGAAACTCGGAGAGGAGGGGTGGGAGGAGGAAGAAAAGGAGGGAGGAAGGAGGTCGTCGTCGGACGACGGCATGCACTAGGTGCGGCTCTCTGGATGAAACGACTGGCTCGAGAGAAATAAAACAAAAAAAAACAAAAAAAAACAAAAAAAACAAAAAAACAAAAAAAAAAAAAAACCAAAAACAAAAAAAAAAAAAAAAAAAAAAAACGAATGAGACACCCCGCCTCCTAGGCCTCCTCGAAGAGGCCTCTGTGGAGCAGGCGGAGGGGAAAGGGAGGAGGGAGGAGGGTGCAGAGAGGAGGGAGGAGGGAAGAGGAGAGGAAGGAGGAGGACAACGAGCAGGAGCGGAGGAGGACTGAGGAGGATGTAGGAGGAGGAAAACAAATAATGACATAAACATAACAACTCAGAGGTCCGCGCGGATTTCTCGGATCCGCGCTGGACCCCCATGGCGGCACCTCTGGCGCCGCCCCTGGCGCGCATCGCGCGCGAGGGAGGGGGGTCCAGCGCTGATCCGAAAAATCCGCGCGGGCCTCCGAGTTCGCATGTGTATGTCAATGTTTGTTCCCCTCCTCGTGCATCCTCCTCATTGTCCTCCTCCGCTCCTGCTCCTCGTCCTCCTCCTTCCTCTCCTCGTCCCTCCCCCCTCCTCTCTGCTCCCTCCTCCCTCCTTCCTCTCCCCTCCGCCTGCTGCACAGGGGCATTCCCCCCCCGGGCTGCGCCGTCCTGCACTTCGCCGGGGACGGCGCCTTGGGCGGCCGCGAGGGCGTCGCGCCGTCCTCGGCCAGAGCGAGAGAGAGAGAGAGAGTGGGAGGCCAGGCCAGGCTGGGAGCCGGGAAGGAGGAACAGTTCAGCCGAAGGGGAGGAGGAGGAGGAGGAGGAGGAGGAGGAGGAGAAGGAGGAGGAGGAGGAGGAGGAGGAGAAGAGGA